GCCCAACCAAAGAAAGGTGGTCCCACGACGGCGTCACCTGGCACCTTAGAATGTCTGTTCAACCTTTTCAAATGTTCCAAGCTGCACTGAGATCCATCTTAAAATTGTAAAAGACGCACTGCTCGAGCATTTCGTCACCGTTGTGTCTGTGTAACGATAAAGCCAGCTCCAGAGTGCCTGTCCCTCAGCATCCTTTAGTGATGGGGTAGGGTGGCTGGGTCCTCCCTGCCCCTTCACACACCGCGAGGCCCACAGGCTCTCCCCGCATCGCTCTGCCTGTCCCCGTGTCCCCGCGCTGTCCCTTCTCCGATCACGCGCCAACCCTGAGAGCCACGTGTGGCGTTCCCACTGAGGACAGCATTCGATTGGGACGTGCAGGAAGAGCGGCCACCCTCAGCCGTGGCTGTCTCCTCCCTGAGGACGCTAAAGTCCTCTTCAGCGAGTGGCGGACCTGTCCTCCGTTTGGGGAATTTTATCACGTCTTGCTGGCCCCCAGTGTGGCTCTTCCTCCCCGACGACGGGTGGGTGGCCTCTCTCTGGGACTCATCTCCCTCCTCCCCATGGGGTCTTCAGCTCTCCCAGTCGCAAATCGGAGCAAAGGCTGTTGTCCCCCAAGCAAGCAAGCAGCCCCACCCACGCCGCCACGCCCCTGCCCCACAAGCGTCCTGGGCTCTGAGAAAGACCCGGTCTGGAGTGCGCTGCCCACGCTGAGGAGTTCCAGAACAAAGCAGTCAGATTCCAGACACGGAATGCGCAGTGCCAGCTTCTAAACCCTGCTGGGGCTCCACGTCCCCATCTCCCTCCCAGCAGCATCTCTCCCTCTGTCCTCCGCCCATGGCTGCTGCTGTCTCTTGCTCTTGTGAACCGTCCCACCCTCTCTGACGAGACCCCCAGGGCCGGGCGAAGTCCCTTCCTCTCAGCAAAGGCCTCAGTGGACAATATTAGCACCAAAACATCTCTCGGGGAGGCTGTTTGCCCCGGAGTTTCCCCTGCACACCAGGACCGAGCTCTGGGGACAGACCCTGCACCCAGCCAAGGCGAGAGTTCCCTCCGTCCCCCTCCCGGCCCTCCTGGGCCTGCGCGGCTCACAGACATAACAACGCGTCATTTGTTTCTAAGCTCACTGCTTTCTAACTCAAAACAAATCTTGCAAATGTGCCTGCTTGCTGTTAAAACCTGAATTATTTTATTTCTATTGGTCAAAGTTTCTTTTCTAAGTCGTAGGTAGGCTCATTTTCACATATAAACACGAAAAAAATATATCTAAACAGGCAAGTGAGCCCCTCGAAAAGGGACGTCACGGCCAATGTGAAATTTTGACCTCGATGGGGTGGGAGTCGCTGCAAATGCCCTTTCCCATCTCCCAGACAAATGCCGCAATTTGAGAGAAGCCCCCGGTCGGAACGGGGCGCCTGCATGAGCCGTGCGAGTGCCAGGGCCGCACACACCCTCCCGCGGCATCCAGGTGCACCAGCCTGCCAGCCGGCCTGGCATCCCCACACGGCCACAAACTCACATGTCCCCATAATGACAATGAGTGAACTCAGCCCACGGTAAATTCTAGCTGGAAAACGCTTTGGGGAAGGCTCCAGCTTGGAATAGAGAGTGGCCTCTCACAGCAAGTATTTCTCACACACACACACACACACACACACACACAGCACATACACGCACACCACATACACACGTGTGTGCACACATGCACATGCGCACATGTCCGGATTCCAGGAGGGGCCAGGAAACAGGGGACCCACAGGGTGGTCACGGCCCTTTCAGGCTGGGCCAGGCCCCGAGGTGAGGAAGGGTGGGGGCTGGAGTTGGCGCAGGGCCTGAAAGGGATAGGAGAGGACCAGCCCCAGGGGGACCATGAGGGTGTGGGCCTGCAGGGGGCAGGGAGGAGGGGAGAGCCGGATGGCAGCTGGCTGGGAGCACACAGGTGGGAGGAGGGGAGGACTGGGCAGGGCCCCATGGAAGGAATAAAGCCGCGAGTAGAATGGGAAGAAAACCTCATACAAGGGGACAGCTGGTGCACCTAGTAGACAGGGCCAGTTCAGTGAACCCGGGGTCTTCCCGCAGTGAGGCGGCTCAGCCCCGGCCTACACGGAGGAAGGGCAGCGAGCAGGGTGTAGCCCAGCCCCACACCTCACTGTCTTGCGTGTCTCCCGCCAGCCTCCTCCCGCCCCAAACTGCCGCTGGGAGCAGGAAGGCACCGCCAGGGCTGACTCAGGCTTCCATGTGTGTTGGGGACTCGCGGCTGAGCTTCTGAGACCACCAACGTGTGATTCAGAAACATGCCCCACCAGAACGCTGACGAGACAGAAGGCAGGGACAGGTCGCGCAAGGCAGGGGAGGAGGTGGCTGGCCACGGGGCCCCGAGCGCCCGGCCCTGCCGACCCTCCCACTCCTGATGCCGACAGAAGGAGCAGGACGACACTTACTCAAAGTACTCGGCAGCGGGTGTGGTCCCGAAGGTGTCGTTGAGGCCTGGGCTGTCGCTGGAGTTGCCGGAGTGGGCGTCTGAGCAGTTGGGGCTGTTCCAGGTGTTGTTGCAGTGGATCCACGGGAGCTCCATGGTGAAGGAGGAGAAGAAGTAGTGCAGCGCCCAGGCGATGATGACGTTGTAGAAGAAGCCGACGTAGAGTGAGATGAGGATGACCGTGAAGCCCACGCCTAGCGGATGCGAGCACAGGGCTGTCAGCAGCAGCTCCTTTAGGCCACCCCTGCAGGCACCACCTCCACCCTGGGCCGCCATCCACTGACAGCCTTAACTCAGGCAACACCTCCAAACTCACAGGGGAAGGCACGAAGGGGTTGGTGCCAGCTTCACGCTGCCATCAGAGAAGGGGCTGCCCACCTCCCGACGCCATCTACATCCACACAGAGACACTCAGGGTGTCTCGGGGGGACATCCAGGGCCATTGCAGGGGATCTGGGACCACCCTCATACACCCAAGGTCACTAGGGCCAGCAGGGCCACCCACAGCCATGCCACCCATCACCTCACAGCCACCCAGGATCAACTAGGGTCACTCAGGGCTGTCTGTGCCATTAGGCCTATCAAAGGCCACCCAGGATCACCCAGGAATACCTGGTATCTCCCAGAGCCATCCGGGGCCACCAATAGTCATTAAGGAACAACTGGGGTCTTCCATGGCCATCTACAGCCTCCTGGGCTCATTCAGGACCAGCAAGGGCATCCATGACCACCCATAATCCCCCTGGGTAATCCAGGGCCACCCAGAGTCACGCAGGGCCACCCAGGGCATGGAAGACCACCCAGGGCTTCCTTGGAACATTCAGGCCTTGCGTGACTATCGAGGGCCATCTAGAGCTGAGTGTGACCACCCAGCATCTCCTAGACGACATGCAAGACCATCAAGGACCACCCAGGGCCATCCATGAACATCCGAAGCCATGCAGGGCCACTCAGGGCCTTTCAGAGTGCCCTTACCAGGATCACCACTCCTAGAATTTGGGATCGGTCATTTGGGAGGTCCTGGGGAGTTGGGGCAGAACTCAGTGGTGAGCAGTCCTTGAGGCCTGTCACGTTGACTGGTGAGCAGAGGGGAGTGGTGGTCAGGAGCCTCCTCCCATTGGTCAAGGAGCTCCTCCCTACTGAGTGCTGGACAGGCACGGTCATGTTCTGGCTACCGTGCTCACTTTACTAAGCTCCATGCAGAATTCTTTTGGAAGGCCTCCTCCTCCAATGCGGAACTTGTGATATTAAATACTTCTATATTGCATTTCTGTCCGCTGAATTTCTTGGCAGAGAGGCTGGGTTGTGATTTACAGTGAACTTGCCTAGACAGCCACGTTGGGAAGCCATGTTGTCTGGAAGCCACGTTGTCTAGCGGCTGTGTTGTTGGGAAGCCATGTTGTTGGGAAGCCATGTTGTCTGGTAGCCATGTTGTCTAGCAACTGTGTTGTTGGGAAGCCATGTTGTCTAGTAGCCATGTTGTCTGAAAGCCATGTTGTCTAGCGGCTGTGTTGTTGGGAAGCCATGTTGTTGGGAAGCCATGTTGTCTGGTAGCCATGTTGTCTGGTAGCCATGTTGTTCTGAAGTGAACCATGGAAAGTTTTATCTGGCGGTGCCGTGGGCTGACTGTGGATGCCGAATTTGAAAATTTATCAAGGTTAAACTGTGTAAACCAAGTCCTCAGCTTCAAACTTTGGGATCTCAAAGAAGCCTTTGATCAAACACTAGAGTGGATCCAAATCTAGCGTCTGAAGGAAGGGGCTGACTTTGCCCCTGGTCCTTCCGGAGCCACCACAGGCCACGTTTCTTGACCTTCACAACAGAGTGACAAGGCCACCACTGGCTGACGTGGCTCCCAGAGCAAAGGGCATGCCAGCGCACCCCTCCAGGAGCACCCTCTCTCCTGCACTGCTGTCCTGCTGCCCCAAGTGCCTGGGTGAGGGAAGCGGTGTCCTCGGAAGGTGGTTGCCAGTGCCAGCCATTCCTCTGGTCACGCTGAGCGCTGCCCGTCTGGAAGGCGGTGCCACTAGCCTGGCCCACTGAAGCGCGGCCCCCATCCAACCAGCCAAGTTCACCACGTTCCTCCGTAAGCTCACGTAAGGCTCAGCCCCGGAAATCCACTTTTCTGTTTGCAATAAGAACGTTCTTGTGATCACTGTTCATCACATCACCCCAGGCTCAAATAAAGCCTCACCTGATATATTTCTTCCATATTTAGCGCCATGCGAAACTGTCCCCCCTAAGGAGGTGGTGGGCTTACTCCTTTCTTATGTTTCCAATGACAATAATGCTGGAAACTTGAGGTGTTTCTCTTTTGTCTGACTCCCAGGAAGCTCAGGGCTAAATGTGAATTTCAATCATTGCTCTTAATGTTGATTTATATTTTTCTTAGTATTTCTTCATATTAACCTTGTATGTAATTTGTTTTGTTTCACTTTAGAGCACCTTAAATTCTTTTTTAGAGAAAGGGAGAGTTTGATAAATCACACTAAAATATTATTGACTGCACAATATTATGAAATATTTTATATTCACTACAATAGGTTGGTGGCGTTTCCACAGCGTACATAAAATGGAGGTTTGTCTTTGGCGATTAAGCGGACAACCTGAGAAGGCGCCTCCTGCTAAAGTCGGTGCTCAGCCCTCAAGAGAGCACGGAGCTGCCCTCTCCACCACCACAGACGCCAGCACCCCCAGGGCACCCACCAGGCTGGCGTCAGGAGATGGTGTCGTAAATGAACACACATGTTCCAGGAACTCCGGCTGCAGAGAACACTCCCTCCATCCCTTGCAAGAGCTAGTGGGCAGGTCTTTCTGAAGCACAGGAGAGAATTCCTCCCCGTCAGTCTGCGTGTCCGTAGCGTCTGCCTGTGTGCATGCGTGTGTGCATCTGTGTGTGCATGCGTGTATGCGTGCGTGTGCATGTGTGTGTCCTCGCACATGCATGCACTCATACCAGGGAGAGAATCAGAGAAAGAATGAGGGAGGAAAGAAAGGAGAGAGACAGAGAGAGAGTAAGACAGAGCAGGAGAGAGAGTGAGAGATAGAGAGACAGAGACAGAGTGAGAGAGAGACAAAGACAGAGTCAGAGACAGAGAGAGACAGAGGGGAAGAGAGAGAGGGACGGAGACAGCAAGGCAGGGAGAGGGGACCATGCGACCCGCTCTGGCGGGTGTGCCCACCCAGAGGGGCTCTGGAGGGTCCGCCCAGGGAAACCGGGATGAGTCACGGGCTCTGAGGCCAGTGGCCATCTCAGCTCCCGGTTAGGAGCAGGGTGCGGCCCCAAGCCCCCGGGGCAGGGGGAGCGGGGAGAGGCAGGCTCCCCTAGAGTGGGGCTCTGTCCCTCAGGAGAGACCTTTAAGGGGCCACAGGCACACAGTCCCCTCTGAGAAACTGGAGCCTTTTAGCGCGTTTTATTGTTCTGGGCATTTTAACTGATGTCTTAGTTTACCATGTGGGACTCCTATTTAATGAGACATGAAAATAGATTTCTTCTAACTAAATAAATAATAGATGTTTTTAGGAGATGAAGGAGGGAACAGAAGGCACGTGAATTGGGGTATCCGGGAGGGCACGGGCTTTGCCGCTGTTCTTTGAGGGAGCGGCCCCGTCTCCCGCGAGGCCGGCACCCCGCGGATGGGCTGGAACGCCGACAGGTAGGAAATTACATGCCGGGAACTGTCGCTTTTTTGGTATTAGGCTATTCAAGGTATCTCTTCCTTAAAAAAAATCTTGTTTTCTTGGATCGATTCATTTATCTCTTTGTTTTTGCACAAAGACACCAAAGCTGCGCAGTTCACGTTCCGTGACCTGTGGTTTTCCTCAGTCACCGTCACGGGACGATCCCTCCTGTGGCCTCGATCGGCCCCTGCACAGCCTCCTCTGCACTGGCGCTCAGGTCAAAAGCAGACACGGGACGCCGGGGTGTGGGTGCAGGGCTGTGACTTGGAGTGAAGGGCGGGGCCGGCGGTGACTGTCCAACTTCAGGTTCTGAGGCTGCGCCAGGAACAGGGCGAAGACCCCACCCCACGGCTGCCTTTCTCCAGGATGGGGTGCCGATACGCCGACGCGCATGTTGACCAAAGCCAGGTGCTCTCCGTTAGCCCAAGTTAAGTTTGTTGGCATCACGTGGTGCTTCAAAGTTCTTGAAATCGCTTAGTGACGTGTTATAAATGGCGTCGTAAGAGCCCACGCGGGCGGTTGTTGAACGCTGTTTCCGTGGTGCCACGTGTGGCTGGGAGTGAGCTTCCGCTGGCTGACCAGGTCCTGGCGTGAATCACCCCCTTCTTTCTCCTGCCACCCCTTGCCCGAATCCTGCACGTAAAGAGGTGAATTTAATTCTATCCAACGTCAGGGTCACTCGCGGGGAGTGGGAGCACAGGGTGGTGTCGCGTAAGAGACTTGAAACGCGCTCCAAACTCGAAGGGTGTCTCTGGAAGACCCAGCAGAGCACAATCCGGCATCACCACCGCCTGCGTCGCAGCGCGGGGCCGACTCCTCAACATGTCCTCTGGGCGAGGGTGGACGCTCTGTCTCCAGTTCAGCATGGCCAAGCCTCTGAACACTCCGGTGCTATGAAAATACAGCTGTGGCCGGACTCAGAAGTGACGTCTACTGAAACACGTCAGCGCTGCTGGGGGGACTCGATTAACTCGCTTGAACTGTTTGGGTTCTCCGACCTTGACCAAATCAGTGCTGCGCCGATGAACAGACAATGTAATGCCCGGTTCGCCATGCGCGCCTGCCCCTAGAGAGACTCCTGGGTCTTCCGTTAGCTGCTGTACTCATCCACTGGGGAACTGTGACAGCGACAAAGTTTTAGGCCATTGCTCTAGGTTTCGCCTCTACCTTCAGACCCCACCAAGGGGACGCCCCACACCGGCGTCTGTCTCTCCCTGCAGGTGTGTGTGTGGTGGGTGCGGGGAGGGGTTCTCTCTTTTTACCGTTCCATTTCAGTGTGGGCCAGTAAATCATGAAGCCTCGGAAGAAATGACTATAGTCTGAAGACTCACAAAGCGGGCCACCAAGAACGAATGGCACTCTAAGGCCTGGCCAGTCTCAGCATTCCCGTGCTGCCAGGCGACTTTCTCCCCTGGAGCCCGACCTCGGCCACGGCGCGATGCCGTCTGTCTCCACTACCGAGACAGACCAGAGGCTCAGCTCTGAGAATCAGCCCCTGGCCCGTCCACGGCACATCCTGGGGACACCCAGGGCTTCTGTTCTCTTCTAAACACACCAACTTTCTCAGAGTTTCTGAGAAAATCCAAAGACTGATCTTCTAATAGTCATTTACCTCTTGAATGCCACCCACGTGTCCCTGAGGAAATGCCCCAAATCCTCCCTGAACTCTGGCTCCTGGGAGGCAGTATTGGCCCAGCAGGCAGACACGACCCAGAGCTGGGCTCAAACCCCGCTCTGTACCTGACCAGGTGACAGAGGGAATCACTCATGCCCTCTGACCCTCCACACAGTGTGGCCCTCCCCTGGGCTCTCATGAGGAAGGAAGGGCAATCCTGGGGAGGGTGAGGGCTGGGCGGGCCACCTGCACTCAGCGTGAGGTGAGCTGCTTCAGGATGGCATCAGCAGCTGTGAAGGCTCATTGACGACTAGATAGAGAGGTGATCGATAGGTGGATGGATGGGTGGGTAGATGATAGGTGGATGAATGAATGGATGGGTAGATAAATGATAGGTGGATGGATGGATGGATGGATGATGGATGGATGGATGGATGGGCAGATGATAGACAGGTGGATGGATGGATGGATGCATGATAGGTGGATGGATGGATGGATGGATGGATGGGTAGATGATAGGTGGATGAATGGATGGATGGATGGATGGATGATGGATGGATGGATGGATGGGCAGATGATAGACAGGTGGATGGATAGATGGATGGATGGATGATAGGTGGATGGGTAGATGGATGGGTCCATACATACATGTTTTATCTTATCTACCATCTTAATGCCTTGACAAAATAAAACCACTAATGAACTGCAGGACAGCCTCACCTGGGAGCAGCGAGATCCTTGGTCATTATAGATCTCTAAAATAGGACCCAAACTAAACTGGCCCGTGCATACTCCTGTGTGTGTTAGTGAGGCAGGACCACATGCACACGATGTGGCTGGCTCGGGGAAGCTCCAGGGCCACACCGTGGACCGCACCTTCCCAGGGTGAAAGGAGAGGCCGCGCCTTACCTTTCAGTATGGGGCAGATCTTCCAGACACCGGCGGCCCCTTCCCGGTTGAACTGCCCGAGGGCCAGCTCCATGTAGAAAAGCGGCATCCCAGCAATGACCATGAAGAGCAGGTAGGGGACCAGGAAGGCACCTGTGGGGCACAACGGCATGTCGAGGAGAGCTCAGGGGTGCGGAAGGGCCCAGCTTTCACCATCAGAGCTCGGGTTCCACTGTCCCAGTCGACCACCCACGTCCAGGCACGGCCTTTGCACCCAGTCTTGGGCAGGGGGCTCCCTGCACGGCGCCCCCAGCGGGAAGTGCCGGCTGGGGCAGGCGGACCTCCCTTTCACGCCTGTCACCCACTGCTGTCAGTGTCTGGACTCGTCCTTCCAGAAACCCCTAGGTGTCCCCTGCTCCAAGTCCAGCCCTGCGCAGAGCAGGTGCAGCCCCACCCAGTCCTCCCTGGCTGGGCTCGGGGAACCTTCCAGGCCTGGCCTTTGGCCTCTCTGTGTCCTGATCCTGTTTTCCTTTTGTGCTGTGAGTCTTCTGGGATCTGTGGCCCCAACTCTTCTCTTGGCCCTAAGTGGGTTCCACCACCGTGTCCCCAGCTCCCTGCATTTGGAGCCTGCCTCCTGCGGGGCCGGTGGCCGACAGGTGCTTGCAGGTGCCAGTGCTGGGTGTCCTCAAGGGAGAGCCCAGTTCCTTCCCTGCAGGCACCAAGTTCAGGGTCCTATGGTCTCGGCCTCCTACATGCCCCTTGCTCTCCCCTAATCTGACCCCGACTCAGGGGGCCCTTTGCCATGCTCTCTTCTGGGGGTTCATGGAGACCCCTCGCCGTGTCTTGGGGCAACTTATTGTGCCTGCTTAGACCTCAGTCTTCTTGTCTGCAAGACGGGCGTCATGATGCCAGCTTCCTCACGAGCACGCTGTGGGGCCTGGCCGGAGAGACTCTTCTAAAGCCCTTTGTCCAGCAGAGGGACGGGTCGGGGAGGCGAGGGGAGGCCCAAAGAGGCTCGTGGGAAAGAGGCGCGATCTACTCAGCTTCCCAACCTGCACTTCTCGGTGACCCTGCCCTGCTCTGAGCTTCCTGACTCAAGTCCAGAAACAGCCGTGGTTCCGGGACCGGCTGATGTCAGGAAGTGGGGGCAGGGGTGGTGGGCTGGGCACAGTCCCAGGGGCATCTTCTGCCACCCCAAGTTCAAGGCAGTCACATACTTTGTAAATACCGCCTAAATCTTTGGGCCTTCAGGAATGTTCTTTCCGAAGTGAAAGTGACCCTGGGCATGGAAGGAAGAGGCAAGGTGCCTCCGCCCACTGCCCTCCAGGCTCTTCTTGCCCGGTCTCACCGTCTTCCCGGACAGGGATGCTTTGGGCTCTGCTCTGCGGCTTTGTGACATCGTCGGGGACGTGTGTGCCCACTGCCTGCCCTTGCAGGAAGGAGCTCCGTCCCCTCCGGGGACACACGGACCCCGTCTGCGCGCACCGTTCCTGGAGGAGCGGCCCTGCCACCCGGCCGCGGAGATGGGACTTACCGCCGCCATTCTTGTAGCACAGGTAGGGGAACCGCCAGACGTTGGCCAGGTCCACCGCAAAGCCGATGACCGAGAGGAGAAAGTCGATCTTCTTGCTCCAGGTCTCGCGCTCCTGGGCGTCCCCGGGGCTCTGCGGCGGGCTGACGAGGGTGGAGTTGGTGAGCTGCACCCCGTTCTGCTCCTTCAGCAGCACGAGCTCCACCTCCCTCGGGCCCACGGCGTTGGGCTCCTTAGCCGGGGCCACCACGGACGACATGAGTCCCGCCGAGCATTTGCTCTTACTCATGGGCGGACTTGGAGTCTCGCGGTTCTGCGCCTCTTCCCTGGTCTTCAGCCACCATGAAAAACAAACACACAGGAAGGCAGCGATTTAGCAGCCAGGACCACAGTGAGCCCGCGCGGAGAGCAGAGACCAAGGCGTTTGCATTCACTCCTCTGGGAAGGAGCACACGGTCCCAGCACCCAGGGTGGCCCAGCGGGCCGAGGAGGAGCGGGAGAGGCTGGTTCCCACGGTTGGGGTTGGGGGGACCTCGAGACAGACACTCGCTTCTGTGCCCTCCTTCCTGGGCACGGCTCTCCGACCCTGCCAGGCGCGATGCCTGCACGGCCTCTGACGATAATGCACAGGTGTGACCTCACCTTCCACCCCATTTCCAGAGTGATTTTACAGTCTTGGAAAGCATTCAATAGCCAGTGTCTACACGAGTACTTACGTATTCTTTATACTCAGTAATAAAATAAAGAGCAGAATCTATATAGTCAAAATCAGCCATAGTAACTGAAGTTTAAAAATAAGCATCAAAACAGTTCCTTCAAAGAACTCTGCACCATCCACGTCCACCTGCGGCCTGAGCCCACCCGAGAGCGGGCGGAGGCCAGGCCGGGGCAGTCGTGGCAAAGGACCCCCAGAGCCTGGGGCGACGCAGAGGCGTGGAGCACGGAGCCCACACGGCCAGGCCAGAGTGGCTCCTGGCGCTGGATCCCCGGCACCGCTCCGCCGCGCGCTGCAGCCCGGGCCAGGACAGCAGGAGCGGCCCGAGGGCTCCCGGCACCCACCACAGGAGCTGCTTCCTGCTCACTCTGTGTCCTGCGGCCTCTTCGCCTCCCGGTGACAGACCCGACCTGCAGGTTCCTCGGTTGTGGGGCTGGGGAGCAGGAGGGACTGGCCGGCAACCGGGTGCAGTCAGGAGAGGGGCGAGTTGCAGAGACGGTAAACCCCAGGGCTTTTTGCTCCGACAACCGCCCTGCAGGCAAATCGGGGCCGCAGGCGAAGCCCACCTCAACCTTTGGGGCCAGCTGGCCCAGTGCCTGAACTGAGGCCTCAGAGGCGAGGTTTGCGTGAAGAAAGGCAAACGTGGCCTCGTGGAAAGCGGAAAGCATCTTTCTTCACCACGCCCAGAACAAGAGGCGGAGCTGGAGCTGGCTGACAACCGTAGCCCCACCGAGCCCCGCGCCCCCGCGCCCCCGCCCCGACTTAGACATCACAGACGGAAACCCCACGACATGAAGCGGCGCTGGGGAAAATCGCCCCATCGGATCTGGGGTCTCCCCCTCCAGCGGCGGTGTCAGGCGGGACTAGGAGGAACCGGACCGGACCTCAGGCCCAGCCGCAGCCGCGCGTCCGTGGCAAGCCGGCGACCCCAGCACCTGCCCACGTCGTCGTCTGCGCACACACCTCTCGGGCTCTGACGGTCTCGAGGGCCCCAAGTGGCACCGTCGGGTCGCGCTCTGCACCCAACTGTTGGCGAATTTGGAGACGGCGCCGAATGCAGGACGCGGACCCCGACGGTACCAGCCCTGCACCGCCTATCTCGGGGACCCCTGAGGGGTCTACGGAGGGGGCGGCGCGGCGCGAGGATGCGCGGGGGTCGCCTGTGCAGGGAGCGACTCTGGCCCTACCTGTCTGCCCGGCCTGGGCTCTGCACGGGGTCCTGGCGCTGCGCGGTCCCGCCGCCGAGGTCCGCGAAAGCTCCGGCTCCGCTGCGCTGCGCTGGGCGGTCTCGGCCTCTGGGCTCTTATCGTGTCGCCGGGTCCGCCCCGCCCCGCCCGCCGTCGGGGTCGCCTCCCCTCCTGGCTCCGCCTCCGCACCGCCCCGGGTGGGCGGGGGACGAGCCCGGGCCGCGCCCCGCACCCCGCCCGCGGGGCCAGGAGAGCTGGGGAGGCGGCCACCGCCGCTCGAGGCCGGCGCGCTCCTGGCTGGAGGGCTGGCGCGTCCCGGAGCCGGGGCTGCTCCGCGTCCCAGGCGTCGCGGACCGAGACGGGCGGTTTCCACGGAGAACAGTCTGGGTGTCCCCCCTCCCGGCCCGCACCCCTCGGGGGCCACGCACCTGCGCCTGCCTTCGGGGCTCCCAGGCTTGCCCGTCCCAGCGACGCCGGAGCAGCGGGACCGAAGGGAGGGAGCCGCGCCGGGCGGCCAGGCTGAGCGCCGCTCCCCCGACCTCGCTGCGACCGACCCCCACCCTAACCGTCTGTCGCCCCTTCCGTCGTCCCGCCCTGGGGACAATATCCCTCCTGACCTCCTCCTCCGCGCAGTGGAGGCCGGGGAGCAGGGTTCTGTGGTCCGGCGGGTGGCTTCCGGCCCGCGTCCCCAGCCCCGCCGTGGCGCTCGGGCTCCCTGTCCTGACCCGCAGGCTGGGTCCAGCCAGAGGGCTCTCGCTCCCCTCTTTGGGCCGGGCGCCCAGGCTCAGGGCCCCAAGGTACCCGCTCGCCCACCCGCGTCTGGGCAGCGGAGACGTGGGTCCTCTAGTGGCCCGGGTGTGGGGGGCCCTGGGGTCTCCAAGACGTCCAGCGAGGAGCCCAGCCTCGCCGCCTGTGCCACTGGCATCTAGGATCATCGGAACCAAGGAGCCGGAATCACACTCCACTCGCTTCGCAAAGCAATTTCCTGACACCAGCTGCAAAGCCAGGGGTCCACTCGGACCAATGGACTCTGTCTTCTCTGAGGTGCCTCCAGGCAGGATTTTACATTCAGACGGGGGGATGGAGCCTCCAGGCCACCAGCAAGGCCTGTGTCCCTGTCTGGAGAAGGCACCCGGGTGAGTGGCTGTGCCCAGGCCCTGAGCGTACTCCCCAGTGACCCTGAACCCGGGCATTCCTTCCTGGCTATCCCATGATGTTCCTGCTGTGAGGACCCTGTTGTGGGGCATCCACAACCTCCCAGCCGTGCAGGGGAGCTGTGTCCCTTTGTGCCCCAGCTGCTCAGTCCCCATTTGCTCTGCGCCCCACCCCTGCAGCCTCCCTGCACTTTCCATATCCCTGACCTTGACCGTGGGGCTGGTCCAGGGCAGGGGCTGAAGGGCGCAGGAGCTGTGCCTGCAGGCTGATCAGAACCCACAGCACCCAGGTGACCGGGGCTTAAACACCCTAGACTGGGGGCCTAAATGCCATGGGCTGGGGCTTTAATGACAAACATTTGCTCCCCGCAGTTCCAGGGCTGGGGAGTCCAGATGGAGGCGGGGCCAGCTCCGTGCCTGGTGAGGGTCCGCTTGTGGGCTGCAGACAGGAGTTTCCTCCTGTATCTCCGCGGTAGGAGGGTTGAATGAGCTCCCTGCGGCCTGTTTTTTTGTTTGCCTATTTGTTTGTTTGAGACGGTGTCTTGCTCTGTCAGCCAGGCTAGAATGCAGTGGCGTGATCACAGCTCACGCATCCTCCTGCCTCAGCCTCCCGGGTAGCTCAGACTACAGGCGGGGCAGCCATGCACACCCGGATAATTTTTTAATTTTTTCTTTGTAGAGACGGGGGCTTGCCCTGCTGCTCAGGCTGGTCTCTAACTCCTGACCTTAAGCAATCCTCCTGCGGGCCTCCCAGAGTGCTGGGATCACAGGTCTGAGCTGCACCTGCCCTGCCCGTTCATAAGGGAAGTAATCGCATTCCCGAGGGGGGGCGCATGACCTCATCACCTGCCAGAGGCCCCACCTCCTATCACCGTCACATCAGGGGTGGGATTTCAACTTGGGAATTTTTTTTTTTTTTTGGGACAGAGTCTCACTGTGTTGCCTGGACTAGAGTGCCGTGGCGTCAGCCTAGCTCACAGCAACCTCAAACTCCTGGGCTCAAGCGATCCTCCCGCCTCAGCCTCCCAGAGTGCTAGGATTACAGGCGTGAGCCACCATGCCCGGCCACAACTTGGGAATTTTGAGGGGTGGGGATTCAGTGCATGACACTCGGGGAGGCGATGGGGGTGCAGGAGATGGGGGCGGGGATGCCACCTCGAACCTGCAGCATGCCAACCACGAGGGCTCAGCAGCGCAGGTTTCAAGGAAAGGGAGTCAGGCCGCCATGGGCCCTAACCAGCGGGTGAAACCAACAAATGGCCTCCCAAGGAAAAGATGTGGGGTCATTTAAGTAAAGGAGCACAGGGCAGAGCTGGTGTTCAATACTGCGTAAAACACACAAGGAAAACACGCTGGGGACGGACTCGGAAGCCCTGCAGGAGGGCAAAGTTGTGACCCAAACCTGCGGGGTGCAAGGAAGGGACAGCAGCAGCCACTGCAGGCCCCACGCATGCCGGGCGCAGCCTCTCCTACTGACGCGTGACTCGCAGTCAGAGAAGGCACCGGCCACTGGCGCGCAGAGAGCGCAGGACAGGGGAGCTGCGCAGCCGTCGCACGCCGTGACGTGCTCCTGGGTGAAGAAGAAGAACGTTCTAACTTCCGGGAGCCCCCACCCGGCACCACCCCGACTTCGGGATATAGGAGCTTTGCCTGCTCTCGGAGCCAGGTAACCGTGGGAGCCCAGAGGACACAGAGAAAGCAAAGCTGCCGGATCCGGATCCGCGTCTCGGGCCTCCCACGGGGACGCTGTCTGGGATTGCGCAGGCGGATCAGCGTGGTTACGAGCTGATTAAAGCTGACGACACGCTGCCCTTTGCATGCCCGGAACTTCACCCCGCCTGCCAGGCTCGCTCATCGCGGGGTGGTCGCGGCTGCGCTGTGGCCGGCTCAGGGCTCCTGAGGGACAGGCGCAGCCGCAGGGCACCTGCACTTCCTGCGCGCCCTCGGTGGGGTCGCTGTGCCTGAGCGGGACCCACTGCAGCTGCAGAGCCCTGGCTGCCCACAGCTGCCTCCAAAGCAGCCGAGCAGAGCAGAGCGCCCCCAGCCTCGTGTGCCCCCAGGGGGCCTCAGTGCGGGAAGTTGCCCTGGGCCCCATCTCGGCAGCCACGTGGGAGAGGACAGGCGCTGGCGGTGCGCTCTCAGACGGGCCGCGTGGGACGGGGCTGTCCGCCCATCTCCTCTTTCCACGCTGAGGCGTCTCGTGCGTCCTCAGAGGAAGCCCGCAGCGAGCCTGGCTCAGACTCACAGACACCGGCCTCTCGCTGGTGCG